ATAAAATCAACAAACAGTATTCTTTGATAAACAAATACAGTAGAGCATCGATTATCCGACTTAATTGGGGACTGGGTCGGTCGGATAACTGAAAAAATGGATAAATGAAAAGTATGAAAAAATACATTATTAGTATAGTATATTAGTATATCCCATGTAATTAGTATATCGCTATTAATCTACTTTGCGTTGAATTTTCATCAATGTTAAGCCTAACAATTTTTCTTTTTAAATAATAATCGTCGCTATTGTATCATTAAAAATTATTTTAAAATTATTTTGTTGCTCACAAAACAAACAACCACTCATAATTAGAAAATTAAGCCTCGTTTAAATACTGGCTTCCCTTTCATGATCGACAGTGTTGCCAGTTAAGACATGCAAAAATTTAACAAATATAATATTAAGGTAGCCAAGACAGTCAAATATTGTAGCGCCACATCACTAGCGGACATTTGAATTTGCTGACTAGAATACTGCCGGTTAACTGATGTGACGATTGATTGGGGATCGGATAATCGATGCTCTACTGTAGTACTGTACTGTGCTTAAAATGAACTCTTGACTTAGAAACACATAATTTTATAATCAATCTTTCAACAAAAAGAGTAACTTTTTTTAAACAGCAATGTAATTTTAACAAAAAGTTAAATTTAAAAATTTTTAAATAAAGCATTTTCCCTATGTAAAAAAAATCAATGATTGTACATAGAGGAATAGCTGTAAGTTTATACTATAGCTTCTCTAACAAATGCATCTAATTTATTGTAAAATCTTTTTATTTTTTTACAAAATGGACAATCAAAATACAGAGAAACTTCTTAGTATTAATCCTCTTTTTTCAATATACAGATAATTAGAAAATAAAAATTGAATTACAATTCACAAAACACAAAAACTATTATATTAATGTAGTTTTAGCCTTTTCTCCTCAAGTGTATTTATTTTCATTTCAATCTCTTTTTCTTCCTTTTCGTGATCTTTTCTTAACATTTTCTTGTGTTGTTTTAAATCCTTAAGTTGTTGTGTAGGTTTTCTTTTTTCTTCAGCCCTCAATGTCTGCTGCTTCTGAATATCTTTTTTCTGTTGCAGAGATTCAATATATCGCTGTCTAGATCCTCTGACTGTTAACAACATTTTCTGGTCTATATTTATTTGATCAATACCTCCTGCAAAATGGATCCCATCATAAACTAAGCGTTGAGCAACTAAACTTTCTTCCTTAAGATTTTCACTCAACAGTGATTTGTTAACCGAGAAACCACTCTCAACACTTGCATTCCCATGTGAGAAAGAAAGAGAAATTTTGATAATAGACCATAGATCTTGCAGTTGCCTATCATCCTTCAAAATTTCACAATAAAATGTGTCCAGACCATCATCATCACTCCTTTCAGATATGAAGTCCTCAAACTTTGTAGAATAGGGTTTTATG